CGCGCGACCTTCGCGGGCTTTTCCAGGCTGGAGCAGCTGAAACTGGAACGCAATCGGTTGTCGGTCATTGCGTTGGACGCTTTTGCATCTCTGACGCCATGGCAGAGTGGATCGGCCATACCTCCGCTAGGCAGTTTCTGGAGTGAAAAACGTCTTTGTCAAATTCGACTGGTCCGTGTTCAAGCCGGTGGCGGCAAGCCTCAGGGTAAATATACTGTTGTTGGTGGTCTTGGATTCATATGACAGTAATGCATTTAGAAAACGGTTCTTCGCTGTAACATGTACAACAGTCAACAGTGCATCAGTTAAAGCTGCCGCTCCTTCCAGTGCGGAAGCTGCATATCCTAATTATCTCCTGTAGAGCTACGATATATGGAAACATGTGGTGTCCTAAAGCGGAAACATGGGGGTACCCATTTAAATATGTAGAATACTGTATTTGCCACTGTTTTCTTTCAGGATGTCATCTCGCAAATGAACGACATTAAGGAGATCTACTTCAGCCACTATTTCACGATGCCGTCCGTGGAATGGGTCGATCTATCGTACAACAGTCTGGAGTACATCGACGACATCCTTCTATCCAGTCTCTCCATTGCCGAAGTGAGACCCCGTCTGCACCTAAGCGTCAACCGCTTCTGCGTCAGTGACCTGGAATGCCGCTGTTCGGCGTTGGACAATCTGTGGACCTTCTTCCAAAAGGCACCGCGTAAAAAATCGTTCGTTACTTGCTGCTTCCTCCGTCCGTCGGATGAGTTGACGTGTGCAATTACACCATCAGCAGCCAGTTTTCGTCGTACGAATCCAAGTTTGTGTCCTTGTGGGGCCAGACAGACGCAAAGACCTACTTTTCCCGCCAAGTTATCAGTCTGGCACACGCACGATCCAAGAACATTACGGCAGGCGACGATGGCGCACCAAAAAGCTTAACTGTCTAATCAGACACCGTGTAGAGTTTTCAAAATTAGTTAAATCTATCTTTCAGTAATTTGCAACAAGCACTGTGCAAATGCAGTTATCCAACTGTGGTTGGATAATACGAAATAAATAAATCTCTTTGTGCCTTGACAATGATTTGAATAAAGATTTGTTTTGTTTTCCAATGTAGGACATTGTAGTAAATACTGTGGCACATGGTGACATTACGGCGAAAACGAAATTTCGTATTAATTTAACTGCATACTGATTCGATGCCTTTACAGCAGTCGGATGCCAATTCTCTAAAGAAGGAACTCATAGTACAAAGCTCAGAAGCTTATTTGGGTTGAAATTTATGGTAATGTTTTATGTATCAGTTATGTACAATGTAATGTTTTATGTACAAGTTATGTAAAATGTAATGTTTTATATACCAGTCCACATAGACAGAAACTGAACCGCAAACCTAGATCGAGTAATAACTTGTATAAAATATACAAAATGGCTGACTAGAGAAACTTACCTTTCATTACAAGAATTCCTGCACTTCAGCAGAAGGGTTATTAGATGAATGATACGAGATTCGCCTAAAGTTTGGAGCAAGCACATTTTGAACGTTCTTGCCGCTTGTTATACACGTTTGTGTGGCCGGTAAAACCGTTTAGTGGAAAATGAGGTTTTAACACGAAACTACAGGCGTCAGCATGTACCGTGTGGACACTTGTTCCTTAAGTGGTTGGTGGCGACACCACGCTGCTATTATCCGCATCGTGGTCAAATTTCGGCAAAACTGTGCCGATACGGAAGAAAGCTAAACCGACCAGAGGGAATGTTGCCGGAAAACTCTTCGCATCCAGCTGACGCGTGCGGTATGGCGTGGACAGTCAGAGATGGACGGGTGGTGTACGGACAACCTAATTACCGTATAAAGGAAAGCGAGTTCCGCATATTATTGCATATATTGTTTGCTTTTGACGTGAACACCCGTTGCCTGTTAATTAAGTTAATTCTGCTTCAGTAAATTGTTGCTGTTATTATTGTGAGAATGACGGTGCAGTTGGATATCATGCGGATACTCTCCTTTTACTTTGCCTTTGCTCATGTGCGGTAAGTGCAGATAATAGTAGTTTTATTTTTTTTTTTTTTATTTTTGTCTGTTAACTGCTACCTTTTAAGCATACCTATATCCATTGCAAAATTAGTAGGTGTAGAGTAGAGCTGTTTATTTTGGTAGACGATGCAGTATTCGTATAACTGCAGCTGTGGACTAATGTCCACGCAAGTGGTCGCAGAACCACGGCGAAAGCATCTCGGAAAGGTACGTTAAATAATTAACGAATTGTGACACACCACTTGCGGTCAAAATTAGTTACGCTCCGGCCTGTTCATGTACGCTCACCACTTCATGAATCCCGCATGCGTTTTACTTGTGTATGAGGGTACGGTGTTTTACGGAAGACTGAAGGATTGATTTGTTTAACTAGTTTGAGTAAAGCCGCCAAAATTAATGGTCGTTTTTATTTGGTTCCAGCGTTGACTGCCTAATAAGCGGCAAATATTGTGAATACTTTACCAACGTGTTAACAAATTATTTAGTTGCTCGGAGAACCGACGACACGTTGGTGTACCAAGGCGGCAGTGATTTCAAATATCACTATGGTAAGCTGGGTAAACTGGGCAGAGGCAGTTTCGGCAACGTTTACCGAGGCACCGTCACTGCGAAAGGGACGTCGGATGACGGCATGCTGATTGGTGATCCAGTCGCAATTAAAGTGGTAGACCTCAGCGAACGCGACGCTACATCCTTGGCTAGTGATATGGAGCGTTTTAGCAGACTGCTGCAAATGGACCATCCAAACGTTGTGCGATACCTATACATTTCAGCGAAGCAGTCGGGAGGAAAGCTATCCGCCGAGATTGTGATGCCGAAGTACAAGGGTAGGTAAAGAGACTTAAGAGAGAGTAGTATTCACCGATGGTTCACCTGAGCAAGCAACGAACAAGAAGAATGCATCCTGGTAATCATGCTTACAGCAGCTAAATGTTTGTGTGTGTATTTGTAGCCTAAAGGCGCGATACATGAGCAAAGGTCAATAAGTCGAAAGAATCTGTTTAGGGTGCATTTGTGTCCCAAAGAGACAGAAAAATCATTCTACTAATGCTAATTAATTATTGATTCTCCGGAAATTTTCCGTGTGGTATTGGTCGATCGTGGATGTGAATGTGGTAAAACGATGGTATTTTATAGATGACGATATGTCCCAAAGGATGCGTGGCCTGGAAAAGCCTGGTGCCAGCCTTGACAAAAACATTCTTCAGGGTTATTTCCGGGATCTCGCTGAGAACCTTTGTTACATACATGGGCAGCATTTTATCCACACCGACATCAAGCCCGCTAACGTCTTCATTCGATCGCTTCATGATGGACGGGAGAGCTTAGTAATTGGCGACATGGACCACGCCGTGAATGCTGGGGTCAACAAGGAGGCCGCTGAAATCGGTTCACGAAAGGGCACGCTGCGCTGGGCGAGTCCAGAGCTTCTGCATGGGGGGAGTGAAGAGATCAAGGCAATGATTGAGGAGGATGGCCTTGTGTTCAGAAATCCGGATCAGAAAACTGACGTCTATAGCATTGGATGTGTATCTACGATTATCCGCACTTTTTTTTGGAATCCTCCTGAACTGCTGGGTAACGCTGCGGGCCACTCGACCAGCTAAAAGTTTAGAAGACAACCAATACGGTTTCTGGGTTGTGAGAGGTTATATACCGCTTGTTCCTGAGTCGATGCCGCCGTACATTCAACACGTTCTCCGTAGTTGTCTCATCTTTGACGCGGACAAGCGAGCAACCGCGCAGGAGCTGGTTAGCATGCTGTCTTCGAACAATTTCAGCACCGATTAGATCCGCTCACACTGTACTTATATGTTGGATTTTGCTAACTGATCCGGTGATGACGTGCCGACCGTGTGCCCATCTCGCACTCGTATGTGTTTACCGTTACTGTTCGTCGTTGTGCTTTTCGCACGCAGCAACAGAAGGCTGTCAGCAACTGCTGCGCCTGTGATGTCTTTTGTTATCCTCATTAATTGTACCGCACTTCCTGGTTTCCTGCTGTAGACATTATATTTTCCATACGCAACAGATCCTTGATGGCATACTTTATTGTTTTAATGTAATCGCAAAATCGTAATTTTTCTGTCGTCTTCCATTAGCATAGCGTGGGTGGGCTGCTCCATGTGTAAGACATTAATTTGTTATTCCAGTCTTTGAATTCGTTAGAAGGCAGCAAACGCCGTAAATATGCCTTTGTGGAACGCACGCGTTCCCGGTTTTACCCGGTGGCAGTCGAAACATTTGGTACATTTGATTCGGCCATTCGTTTCACTGGCAGAAAGATTCGCGAAGTGACAGGAGAATCTCGATTTACTGCGTTTCTGAAGCAGAGAATAGTTCCGGCTGTAGTAAAAGGAAAGGCTGCTGTTGTCGGCACTATGAATATGCTTCCTAGAAGGTCTTACGACAATAACGATTTTGGATGTTTTTCTAACGTTTAAATTCGAATTATTTTAAGTAGTATTACGCGAATGCATTTTTTGTTCTATTGATGGGCTTTGGCTACTCGTATCCATTCGTATTGTCCAATCGTATCAATCGTATCCATTCGTTGGAATGGATAGGAGTACGTTTCATTTCGAAACAATCCTTGTTATGGTAACTTTATCGTTTGCCGTAGAAACATGTTAACCCCAATTTCGGTAACCGCATGCTCCGTATACACCGTTCGGTAACCGTATACAGTAAACATAGATGTATGTCTTTACGCATGCACCAGCTCTAGGTTGACGTAATTTGGCCCGTTAATCTGTGTACTGTGTAGTGCTCACCGCTACGAACCACTGTGAAAGATATAAAACTCGTGCCGTGAATGCACTTGTTAGCTGTATTGCCAAATATTTCCAAATAAAGAAATTCTCTAAAAAATTTGTTCACTTGTCAAAACCACTGCAAAGATCAGCTGATTGCCAATAAACGATTATCTGCGAAATTCTTCTTGCTAAAAGTAATAATTTGGGGAAGCCGTTCATGGTCCACTGTTCTCGCTTATTCGGGATAAATGCTCCAACAACTGACGCGCAGATGTTCTCTGGTTATTGGCGATGCGCAGGCAGTTGCGAACACACGCGGCGAGCTCGGCAGGCACGGCCGCTGCATCAAAGACTACGGGAACAAACCCTTGCATTACCGCTACCCCGTAAACCCAGTCGCTGATGGATTGACTCGCACCCAGCACTTTTCCGCTGACCGGATGCTGCAGTGTTTCTCTATAATCGCCCGTAATTGCGCGGATCAACTGCAGCAAGACATCCCACGCTCAGACGTCCGTAGACGAATCGGGCATCGTGGGCCACGTGATGAGGGTTTCCGGGGTCCTATCGCACGCACCATTTCGGGAGACATGTAGCGCTCGCTGCTGCGGAAATGCTCGCTGTTAAGCGAGCTGACACTGCAGAGTTGCAGAGTAACGAGGCCATCCCAGTCGGATATACGCAGAGTACCGCGTTGGGCGTTGGAGCCATCGATGAGCACGTTAGAGGGTTTCAGGTCGCCGTGAGTTATGCCGTTCTCGTGCAGGAACGCCAGTCCACTAGCCAAGTCCAGTGCGTGGCAGATGGCGTCCCCAACATTCAGAAGGATTCCGCTGTCTTTCATCTTTTCAGCTCACTTTCTAGGTTCCCGGCTAAAATAGGACACCAACAATTTTACTTTCTTAATGAAAAAATTTCATGTTAGATTAACCACGATAATCCGTCTTCGCAACTTCTTCAGTCGGTAAGAATACAGATGTAGACTGTGCTCATCCGAGCAACCAGAATCGTATATGTACTGTACGTACCACGATAATAGTCCATGATGAAGTTCACCGTTACGCTACCAAGTGTGGGTATAATGGTGATTTTATGATAGTTCACCAAGTGATCGTGTTTCAGCTTCAGCATCGTTTCGAATCCCTCCTGCAGCTTGGCATAATTTTCTCGATTTTCCACAAACTTCTTCTCTTTTATATTGAAACATCTCATAGCAACAACGTCAGGTCCAACATAATTGCCACGCTCCGTAATGCTGGCTTTGTAAACCTCGCCGAAGCTGCCTGATCCCATGAAGTTACGATCTTCGTATTGATACTCACAATTGCTCCCAAAACACACAGTTCGAAGCTGCGTCGACATTGTGCTCCGGAAACAGGCACTGACGGATCGCTGCTAAAAAAGCAAGCAATTGGTTTACTTTTGTATGCTGCAGCTTTTCGTTGGGAAATTTATTCGAAATCGCCAGCGTATTAAACTTCACTCATATCAATTACCATTTTCCCGCTGGGCTCACTACGGCTTCGTTTATGAAGCGGGCTGACTAGCACGGGACTGTAATGCACGCTGTCTGCACTCACTAGATTTGTCGTGGCGCTGGGTCAGCGGCGGCACACGTGAAAGCACTTGTGTCACATTATTGAATTATACGACTCAAGAGCTCACAGACTGCAGACGTCAGCCTACAGCAACAAAAATCACTATGATTTCCTGATTGCCGAGTCGTGATCAGATTTTTCGAAACAGTCATCTTATGAAGGTGCGCACACGGGAATCACGATGCTCTAATTTCTCTATTCCTACTGTTTCGTTCGACTTGACGTTGAGTCACCGGCAGCAAGTGTGATTGTAAACGAAGTAATGATATCAGGCTTATTATCAGCAACTGAGCGGTGACCAGATTGCGTTGCTAAAACCGCACGGCTAAAACTTTTTAGCTGACTCACTTCCCTCTGTAGTTTATATGATCTTCTCCGGCGGCAGGCGTGAAAGTACCCGTATCTTGGTGAACCATCAGCGCTTCCATGACCGCTGAGAGATCGAGAATTATTCGTATTACTAAAAAGAGCACCTAGCGAGGTTACTTTTTCGGTCTTACTGCTGTTCATAACAGATAATCGACAACTGAATTCGGGAAACAATAGTTTGAAAATGTCGTTTGCTGGCATGCAGTGCGTTGGCAGAGTACTGGTGCCTGTGTACGAGCGTTTCTCTTGCGTTTTTTCGTTGTTTCGACAGACCGGTCGTTTGCCAGGGACTTTTATGAAAATAAAATCCATTCCAATTTCCCAATGCACCAGCTACTGGTTCGCTTGTCTCCCATCATAACAGTTGGCACAATAATTCTGTCGCAAAGCGATCGTGTAAACGCTGATACATAATTCACCGAGCGACGGGTGCAATGTGCATTCACGCATGCTGCCGGCGGATTACTGGACGTCAAGTTGTATAAAGTGGAGAGGGAAGTGAGTCAGCAAATAATTTCTAGCCATGCCTTCTCAGCAACAAAGCAGAGACATAATTAGTAACACAAAATTCAGACTGAGCACATTATTTCCACGTGCGCACCTTCGTAAACTGACAATTTCAAAAATGCTGGTCAACACTCAATAATAGCTGATAATAAGATTACGTATATTAATTTTTAATTTGGTTTACTGTGACTGACTTCTGCATTGCTGCCCTCGTATCATTTCAGTCAGGTGCAAGTGCCTTCATGCTCGCAGCCGGTGACTCAGCGCCACGTCGTATATAGAGGGAAAGCCTGACTGTGAGCTGCATTCCCGTGCTTCTAAAGCCGTTTTTTCACAATCGAAGCCTTGCAAATTCAATGGAAGTACCGTGATTGCTATGCCAGTATGCCTATGTACAATTTATTACGCCGGCGCTTGAGAATAAATTTATCAACAAAGAGCTCTTCTTTCAGAATTTAATTGATCACTCCCTCCTAGCTATCGATTCCGTCAGCGCTTGTTTCCGCAACATAATATGTCGATTCTACCTGCGTGTTTGGAAGCACTGCCAGTATCAATACGATGATTGTGACTTCATTGGAAGGAAGCTTTGGCAAGGTTTACAGAGCCAGCATTACGGAGCGAGGCAACTATGCTGGGTCAGATGTTGTTGCTGTAAGATGTTTTTTATGTACACGGGAAGAGATTTTTGAATCAGAAAACTATGCCAGACTGAGGAAAGATTTGAAAAGATGCTGGAGCTGAAGCACGGCCACTTGGCAAACTATCATCAAATCTCCATTATCCCCACACTTGGTAGTGTAGATGTAGATTTAGTCATGGACTATTATCCTGGTAAGTAATAAATGTAAGTATATGTAAAACATTTTTACGCAAGGTATTGAGATTGTTATGCTGAGTACATCATTCCCTTAGAGTAGTGTTGCTTTATTAAGTAAGCATTATCCATCAAAGTATCATAAGGTGCGACCTGGGTCAGACACTACATTGTTAAAATTTTAAACATATTGAAAAACAAATAATCTCTTTCATCTCTTGACATTTACTATATTCTCCGTTGCCTTTTCCTTATTCAACGCCGAAGTAAACTTTTTTCTGGTAAGTTGATAGATCTGCGGTATTCTGTAAATCTCGCGAATCATGTTTAAAGACGGATTATGCGTGATTTAACGCAATACTAATGTCGAATTTTGGTTTGTCATTGAGAAGGTAAATTTGTTCGTTGTCCGATTTTAGCAGGCAACCTGAAAATTAAATTGGAAGGGATGAAAGACAGCGGAATCCTTCTGAATGTTGGAGATGCCCTCAGTCACGCACAGGACCTGGCTGACGGACTGGCGTTCCTGCACGAGAACGGCATAACTCACGGCGATCTGAAGCCAGAAACGTGCTAATCGATGGCTCCAACGCCCAACGCGACATTCTGCGCATATCCGACTGGGATGGCCTCGTTACACTGCAACGCTGCAGCGTTACATCGCTTGATTACGAGCATTTCCGCAGTAGCGAGCGCTACATGTCGCCGGAAATGTTGCGTGCGATAGGACCATGGGAAAACCTTACCTCGTGGCCCTCGATGCCCGGCTCGGCCACCGACGTGTGGAGCTTGGGATGTGTCTTGCTGCAGTTGATTCGCAGTATCACGGGCAATTACAGAGAATCACTGCAGCATCCGGTCAGTGGAGTGGTGCTGGGTGCTACTCAAGCTATCACGGACCTGGCTTTTTCGAAAGCGGTAAATGAAGGGTATATTCCTGTCGTCTGTGACGACGCGCCTGTTCCATCGGAGCTAGCCGCCTGCACTCGCAACTCCCTTTGTTTCGCCAGTAGCCAGAGAATATCTGCGCGGCAGCTGTTGACTCAACTGTCCCAGACCAACGAGAACCACAAACCGTTAACGTGATTGGCTTACGGTCCGTGTTTCACACATAAAGACCGGCTTGTGGGAGTACTCACATCGCATGTACATCTTATTACTATTATTATTGTTTTTCGCTTTCTCCCACGTCACTGCGGTTGTTGTTTGCGATTCGCATGTTCTTTATCTTGGTAGCAGTGTATATGCTCCTCGGAGTCTATATAAGTTTCTGTTCTTGCTAATATTGGTATCAGACTTGCGGGTTCTAATCTTGAGACTTGTTTGCTAGCTTTCCAGTTGTTGTGGAATTCGTTGAGAGTTAAGGGAAGTGGCCCGGTACATGGTACCAAATTCGTGTACATGCACGAAATCTTTCACTTTCGCGCACTCCCAAACCCTATTTTCTCTTGTTTTATGACATTCTGTAGCCAAATGATTGGTATACACAGGCCTGAAAGTTTGCGCGCGCAACATCCGGTTCGCGAGTTGTGGCTGTTCGAAAATTCCAAAAGTTTAAATGCGTTCAGATGTGCCAAAGTCTCATTAGGACCGATCTCCTCAAATTTTGCAAGTAAATGCACATAACCGAATAACGTTTTACACCGATCCACTGTTCTAGCATGTTTTTCAAATTTTAAAATGAATTTCAAAATTTTAAAATTCATTTTAAAATTTGGAAAAACTCATGGAGGACTGGATCGGTGTAAAAACGTTCTCATGGACATGCGCATTTACATGCAAAATTTGAGGAAGATCGGTCCATAATGAACTTTTGGTACACCTGAATGCATTTAAACTTTGGAATTCTAACGTCCATATCTCCCGAACCGGATGTTTAAACCAATTTTCTGCCAGTGTATACAAATCTTCTGGCTACAGAATGTCATAAACCGAAAAAAATGTGTTTGGAAGTGTGCGAAAGTGAAAGTTGATGCATGTACTGAATTGACACCATGTACTGACCACCTCAATAAGACAGCGTCTTTTAAGGTTCTTTGATGTTTGTAATCATATACGGATTATTGCATAGCAAAACATGGTATGATCGAGACACAATCGTCCTTCGCTATTATTTGACCCACGCACTGCCTACGACCGGAAGTTGGGAGACTTAGGATTGCAATTAGGGATTCCTGAACCTTATGTCCTGATCAGTTTCTGTCCAGTTTATCACAGTCAATAAAACACCGGGCGGCACAACGTCAGTCCCCTTCAGCCACGGAAAGTCTTGTGTCTGGGACGTCACTTGCCCGTAGTGTTGCCGTACGAAAATGTTTTCGTATTCGTTATCGTAACGCATACGAATTCAACGTGACTTTTAGTTATCGTAACGAAAACCAAAAGTCAAAGAGTTTCGTTACGATTACGAAAACTATCTGAATTTTAGTTTTCGTAACGATAACTAAAATTCAAGGATTTTTCGTCTTCGTAACGAACGAAAATGTTTTTGTAGCTTTTCGTATGGCTACTTTACAGTATATGATAAATAATTTAACGAAAGTTGAAAACAGTTTCAGTTTACTTGCGGTTTCAGCTGGAGATTCTCAACAAGATTACGAAATGCACAACGACTATCAGCGCGTTGTCTCAAGGCTGATTGTCACCGATAATTTGTCAATATGCGGTGTTCTTTGAAATTACTCCGATTCATCTGGGAATGATACAGCGTATTGGAACTTTGTTTTATAGTTTACGCCAATTGTTTAAGTCTATTACGTCTGTTTTATTGTTTACATGTATCATTTTCAAATTTTCCATTGGAAATGCGTAATAACTTTTACTCGTACAAATTACAATTATAGCGCTCAGCGCTGCTAACTTATCATTCTTTTATTTCGTGTAACTCTTTGCCTACTTATTTTTTTAAAATTTATTTCGAACTGCAATTACACCATACGCTTCGATTATTTTACAGAAGTCTGACTTGCTACCGCAAACTGAAGTTTAAGCCAAAATGTTAAATACTTACATGGTTAATAATAAAATTGGACTTCAAATTAACCTATCGGATCAGAACTTCATTCGTACTAATTAACATCAGTAATTTCATTTTTTTTATAAAGGTTGCTCCATTGGACACGAAAATTAAGAGTCAATATTTTAAACCATTTTTCAGTCCGCTTTTAAGAATGATTCGGTATTCTTTACCTGATCGTCGTTGAACGTTTAGCCTTCTGTTTAAAAGTAGTGTTATAACTATAATATTAGTTTTATCAGCACGCAGCTATATAAATATGATTTCCACGTCCCACGTTTCTTA